GACTTGATGTGTGTGTGTTGGGGGAAAAACTGATTTTGAATAGTGATATGATGGAAAATGTATGGTTGAAAAAGAAAAAAATTATTGATATGATGGAAAATATTATTTTATTGAAAAATGTGTGGTTGAAAATGAGAATTGATTTATTATAGAAAAATCTAATCCCTCCCAAACAGGCCTTGTACTTATTCTTTCTTACTAATGTCCAGTACTACCCAATCCACTTACCAAACATGTCATAAAGTGATTGTTTGTTAAATAATTTTAGTTTCTGCTGCTTCAAGCTTATAATCTGAAGTTCTTATTTTNAAAAGTCGGCTCGTGGTCCCCACCTTTTGGTGTGAGTGGGGTGTAAAAAATTATGTAAAATATGATGTACATGTAGCATAACCCAAGGAAATAATACCTTTTAACAAATCTTTCATTCTCCTTGACATGACTTATTTCCTTTTGAATAATACTAGAGGTACATAATGGTGCACATAATTGTGATGTGTCAATCATTCAGTTGTTGATGTGTAAGTGTGAAATTTGAATTAAAGGTTGGATTATATGCCACTTGTAATTATGTTAACCCTCATGTAGATGCTTATGTACCGTAGCATTACTCTTCAAAAAATTATTTACTATAATAAGATACTTCACTACACATTTACTTAGTAAAATATTCTACATATAAACCAATAAAGTTATTTTAAATTTCAACCACATATTCTCCAAAAAATACTATTCATTACTCTACTTTTCTCTCAATAATGGGAGACAAACACATCTCAAGGTTTGTTTGTTTCGGATTAAAATCAGATTTTAATCTAAGTCAAAGTCAAATAATTAATATTAACCATATTTTTTATAGGTCCCACAACTTTTCAACTACACATTTCAAAAACTTCTCTCACAGTCTACTAAAAATCTAATTTTAATCCCCACTAAACACCCACATAATGTTACTAGCCGGACAATTCGTCAACTCAACTTTTATAGAAGGATTCTACTCAAATAATTTATAATGATAATAATAATATTGAAGCACACACCTACTATTGGGATGCTTGTCCTCTTATGAAGCAATTCAAATCTTTTGCAAATCGCCCGCCATTAAAGGGAGTTTGTGGATGTCTTTTCTAAAAAGAAATTTATTAGAATGATTATTTTCCAGTCTCACATTCCCGTTTCAAAAGTGTGTGTATATATATATATATACACACACGGCTCTTTACAAATCGATTTTAAGCCCCTGTTTGACACCCGTTTTTGACAAAAAATAAATTCTTGAATAGTGATTGATGGAAGAATGTGTGGTTAAAAAATAATGAGAATTTTTGGGTTTATATGTAGTATTATTTTATTGATAAAATGTGTGGTTGAAATGAAAAATGAGAAAAACTGGATGTCAAACCAGGGGCTAAAGGTGAATTTTGTAAAAAATAATTAGAAGGTTTCAAAGTTCAATAAGGTAAGATTTACAACATATTTCACGATGCTAGGAGCGTCTCCAATGACAAGTAGGATAAAAATTGCTCCAATGATACATCAAATATAGTGTAATAAATAGTTTATTCCATCTATTTCCTTATTTAATACTTTAATTGATTTATAATTATTTTAATATGATAGTTATTTTTTAAAATTCTAATTAATTAATAAGTAATAATTATTTCAACAATAAATTAAAATTGTTCATTAAAAAGTCAAAAATTATAAATTTGGTATTAATAAAATAGCACTAGAACAACATACACATATTAAAAACATAAATTAAAGTACAATATGACATTTAACTAATTGATCATATATGTGATGAATATACTAATTTCTCCTATAAATAAGTGACAAAACGAGTTGATATTCTCATTATATGTAATTTTCCTTGCGTTTTCAATGTAGTTTTTATAATTTGTGGTATTATGTTTAATGTCTTTTTCAATTTATTAATAAATGCAATGTTTTACTTCATTAAATATATTTAACGGCTTTTGTATTTGTTTTGAGTCCTATATTTCTAAAAAAATATTCTTTTAAAACTCATTTTGAACCATATATTTTTCAATAAAATATTATTACACTCAAATTCAAAATTTTCCTTAATTTTTAAACATACATTCCCTATCAATCTATTAATCTAAAATACATTATTTCCCTAAAATGGGGCTCAAACAAATGCATAATTAGTGTAAATTAGTCTCCAGTGGCTTACACCAAATTTGGCATAACCATTGGAGAGAGAAAAAAAATCAAATTACACCAAATTTGAGATAAAATTATACTAAATTTGACGTAAACTATTGGAGATGGCGTTAACTGGCGCACACCATCAAAAGAATCAATTAAAAAACCACTTATCCAATCATTTAATTGCACAAGAGAACAAAACTCGTCGTGGAGAAAAAACGATTTAAAATTTACTTTTAAACACAGCTAAACATGTTCATTTAAACGCGAATAAATACTCGAGACATTCTTTTGTTCGATTCCATTATTTTTAAAATGCATATATTTTTTACTTTTTTAACTACACATTATTCAATAAAATAATATTACACACGAATTCAATTTTTTTAACAACGTATTCTTCATTAATTCGCTATTTCAAAATAAGTTCTTACATTAAAATGAGAAACAAATAACCTCATTTTTTTTGTCCCTTTGTTTTTCTTCTCCACTCTCTCCCATGGAAGTTGTAATTTACACTGCTGACTGCACAAACTTATCAACAAAATACACACACACACACACACAAAAATCCCGCCTCCGTCATCAACGTCAACAAAACCACAATAAAACCGCTCACAAGATTCAACACTCAAATCACTACTCCAACCTTTAGAAACTCATTTTCCTCCCCCCATTTTTGACTCAAAAATACAATTCCACTCCACACTAAATATCTATCCATTTTATCTTGTTTTTCTCAATGCATCCTTTATATATCGAGCACTAGCCACGGGACTCTCAAGAAAGAAGAGTTTTTGAACTTTTATTTCTTACAATTTTCATCTTCAAGACAAATTTTTTTTTCAAATGTATTCTACATTATTTTGGTGAAGCTTGTCGAATTTGGGAGCCCAAAACTTGAAGGTTTCTCATCTGGGATTCTGAAATTCGTCGATATAAACACAAAGTTAGGACCTTTTTGCGAATTTGAAGTTGAAAGCTCGTTGAGAAGGTACCTTCTAAATTTTTAGATTGTTTGTATTTGTGGTTGTTAATGGTATATGTTTCCAGGTTTGAGGATGGTTATTTCCTGATAAGCTTTGTTTGTAAATTTCGAGAACTTGATTTTGTAAGGTATTCAAGTTTGCCTATAAAAATTCAAGATTGAATGGATAATTTTGAGCACCTTTTGATGTGGGTAAAATAATTACTTTTATATGCTTTATTGTCATTCAGTAAATTTGTTTTCATCCAAGTGATAGAGAAGTTGCCTATGTTTTTTTCAAATAAAGTATCAAAGGAATGTGCTGCATTCGTGCTAAAATGTTATGTTTCTATACATGTAAAATTATGGGTGTTTGTTAATTTTTTATTTTTTTTTTCCCATTAAAATCATGCAAACAAGTTTTCAAATTATGACTCTTATTCTGGTGTTTTGGAATTTTCGTAATGAGGATTGCTATTTTAATTCTTGTCGCCACTATGACCCTATTACAACTTAGGCTCAACATACCATTATCATCAAATGAACACTACTTTTTACTGATCCTGGCATCAAAGCTCTTACTCAACAGCATAAACAAATATCAAGCTCACTTTAATGTTGATTTTGGATTACGTGGAGCCTAATTCTAATGATCTTACTCACTCGAGCAGTTTTCTTTTGTTATAGGGGCATACTGCCTATTCAGATTCTGCATTAGGTCGCTTTAATTTCTTACAACATATATCTAACTTGGGGGGACCATTGCTGACAGATACACCGACGAGAGGCGTGATATCTCCATTTAGTGAACACCTAAGACCACAAATGGATATGGCTCTCTCATTAAGGATGAACCACTATAAACCTGTGTGTTTGCTATTAAAAAAAAACAGCACTATGGTAAGTGGGACACAATGACTTGGGTAGTGTAGATATTGGATAATTGCTAATAACCTAGGAGTACTGTTTATGATTGATATGATAGTACCATCTTGGTGTAAATTAACAATGAGAAGATTTTGACTATATTTTTTACCATTTAAGTATCCTGTTCCCCAACTTGTGATGTTAAATATAACTTGCTGAATGCTGATGAATCTCGTATACTTATCTGTTTGTGGTTGTGTACTTGATTGCATGCATTTAGCCCTATGATTATTTTGGTAGGCATGAAGCTTTCGAGTTGTCCTGGTTTATGCTGAAAGAATATGCAGCAATTCTTTCCGTATGAGACACGCTTAGTAAGTCAATCAATCAAATCTCCACGCGCATGCAAACTAATATGTACTTTTCACATAACCTATCCCTCTTCCTTTTCCACTTCTCAAGTAGTTGTTAAACTTCTGGTTAGACAATATGATTAATCCATTGATATGGTGGTTCTTTTGACCCGAGAATGTTTTTGTTGATGCCACAGAGAAACTTGCAGTGTATATGAATAGTTTTAGCATTTTGCAGTTACAAAGCTATTTTAAAAAATAAATATTTGTATCAATTTTGTCACAGTATCTCCTTGTTACATGACCTGATTTGCACTAATATCTGTGAACACAAAGAATCCACTGTTTTTTCTTGATCACACGAACTGAAAAGGAATCCATGGTATTGTGACTTATTCCTCATCATTTATTTTCTTCCGGAGTCTGAATTTGTTAAGTTGGCTCAAGATGGCCTTGACTTTGAAAGGGTAGACAGGCTGCTTCCAAATAACAAAAAATATTTAACAAAATTTCTTTCCAGGTGAAGAAGTACTTCAGTTATTTGTGGATTATTTTTTTAGAAGCTAAGACCTTGTTGAACCAGACAGGTGTGACATCGGAGAGTATCATGGAGAACTGCTTTCAGCTTGCATTTTGCTAAAATGATGAACACAAAGGTTTTCATTCTAACTTGTAAAGATCCATTTATTTTTCATTTACAAGGGGAAAAAACATTCTTTTTCTGAGAGTTGTTTTGTTTTTATTCGTTTTTCTTCATGTGATATCCTTGGGAGTTACTTCACAGTAACTTTTATGATATGTTTTGGGTTGTTTTTCTACTATGTAGTTCAGCCAAGTAATCTTTCCCTGAATAATATGACCTGTACTTTGTATAAACTAATCTTTAAGCTTCTGTTGGTCCTCTGATAAGTGAGGGGAGGGAAAAGGAAAAGGAAATTGTACAAGAATTGATTTTCCTGCTTTTCCTCTCCTTTGAAAATAGAGATCAAATATTAATATTTCTAGATATAGTTGAACGTTGTTATACATGCAAGGAAAATATGTATACATTTTAACGTTTCTCCCTTTTATGTTGTGTTTTAATAGAATAAAAAAAAAAAAAATTCTTTGACATCTTCCTTCAATTTTCTTGCTGAAATCCAGTTCCAAAAGAGCCTTACTTTGTCAAGACATTTAGTTGCTATAATGTAGCTATAAAAATCGTATTCAAACTTGAAAAAGTTCACCTGAATTGAATATGTACATGCTATGAGTAGTCTTTCATATTTAATCATTTTCTACTTGATCTGAAGCATTTCTATCTTAGTTTTACTAACTCGAAGAACCATTTTTACAGGATCCACAGAACACACTTGAAATAAAGCCTAGCACTCAGATTTCTCATGAGTCCCAAAGTGAACAACAAAATAATGATGCTAAGATTCCTTTACCAGAATCTGGTTCATTTTCAGCGTCAAGCAATGATAACAGAAAAGTTTCACGCGAAGACATTGAACTGGTAAGGCAATTGATACTTTACTTCCTTTAGTAATCTTTCTGGGATCATATAATGAATTTAACCTGCAAAGCTGTAACTTGATTTATCATCGTAATCTGCTGTAGGTCCAGAATTTGATAGAAAGATGTCTGCAATTGTATATGAATAAAGATGAGGTGGTAAAGACCCTGTTGCATCGTGCCAGGATAGATCCTGGGTTTACAACATTGGGTAGGTATTATCAAATAATCGAATGAAGTCTTCTATATCATTTCCATTTGTCTATTATCACTAGTAGCTGACGAACTCATTATAATCCAATTACCACGCTAAAGCTTATGTGTTTTTTGTTGCTTTCTGATCCCTGTTCTCTCTGAACACAGTGTGGCAGAAATTAGAAGAAGAGAATCCCGAGTTTTTCAGGGCTTACTACATAAGGCTTAAATTGAAAAAACAAATAATCTTGTTTAATCACTTGCTAGAACATCAGCATCATCTAATGAAATATCCAATGCCTGCGAAGGTTTCTTTGGCTCCAATGCACAATGGAATTCATTCAATGCCAGGTACATATTTCTGTCAATTCAATTTGAAGGGTACAACTAATTCTATGATTTAGTTTGAGCTTTGGTACTGAGATTTTATAAATTGTAATTGAGTCCATATCTATTACAGTCATAGAGGTGTCCACATCAACTGTGTTCATTAGACAGTCACACAAATTCTCATGTTGACATGTGTTGATTTGTATGTTATGTTTCTAAACTGTTGTTCTTCATAAATCTATATTAACTTTATGGTTATGGGGTTTCTATTGAGAGAGTCAAATTGAAGGTTGCATATATAAGGTCTTTTCTCTATCCAAATCGTTTTCGGTTATTGTTTTTTAAACAGTAAGCTTTGACACGAGGCATGAAAATAGGAAATCATTTGATGCCAAGGTCGTGGTATTTACAGCTGAACTTGACATGGAACGAACAACTCGTGCTTTTTTGGCAATCATGGTCATAGAAAGGCCATTTTGTGCGCCCCCCCTCCTCCTAATCCCTTCCTTCTCTCCCTCTGCTAATTGAAGAAAAAAAATAGTGGAATGAGGTCAATGAAGGTCTAAAATTTATGTAACTATTATGCATATTGAACTCGATTTATATCATATATCATCCTTATTCAATGCCACTTGTTTTTAGTGCAGTTAATAACTTACCCATGGGATACCCTGTCATACAACAGCCTCCAGTTCCTGCTACAGGGCAAGCTCACATTGATTCTATGGGATATTCTACATCTGGTTTGCATGTTGTTAATGGAGTTCCTGCTCCAGGCAATTTCCATCCAATGCAGATGAAGTCTGGGAATGAGTGAGAATTGTTTTCAGTTTGGCATTGCTTTTCCACTTGATATCTGAAATTTGACAGCGATACTTGTTTCTTTTTCCATCTAATTCCCTAAACTTCTTCTATTATTATTCCCATCGCATCATGTTTGTCTATATAAAGAAGTAATTCTGACTCCTATGGTTTATAGCATTACTTGACGCCTTGTCGGATACTAATAATTTGCACACTAACTCTTCTTCTAACTGTTGTTATTTTTCTTCTCTTGGCAGTATGGTGATCGATACCAATGCAGCTAATCTGTCTCCCGCTATGCCACCTAACAATACCATGTCCTCCATGTCAGATATGCTTGTAAGCCCCACATCAGCAGCGTCCAGTGGTCATTTCTCCTTCAGTGCATCAGAGATATCTGGCATGGGAGTTGACACATTAGGCCTCGACACAGCATTTACATCTGATGTGGCAACTTCAGTAGGACTGCTGTTACCACCAGAAAATGGTGATGGGAATTCTAGAGACTCCCTTGGATCCTTTGCTCAGATTCCTTGGAATTTCAGTTTTTCGGACCTAACAGCGGATTTATCGAACATAGGAGGTATCTTTTCAAACAAAATCTGATCTAGGTCATGTGCCATTTTTATGCACATTGCTGTGTATTATTTGACCATGACTTGGTTCCACTTTGTCACGTGTGTAAAAAATACTAGGCATAGTAGAAGTTGGTAGCAAACTGCATATTTTTCTTGAAGAACTGTTGGGAAATACTTGTTGAGTTCTGGATTACAAATGGTATTATCACAGCTCCAAAAGTAAATTTTAGATAAGCATTGCCAGAAGAAAGTTGATTTTTGGGAGAATTGCTAATGGAAAAGAAACTTAAGCCCATGTTTGATCCACATCATTTGAAAATTCATTCTTTCAAAACTCATTTTCAACTACACTTTCTTCAATAAAATAATATTTTCCATCACATCCAAAACTTTTCCTTATTTTTTGACCGTATATTTTCCATCACATCACTATTTAAAATACATTCTTCCCTCAATAATATGAATCAAACACCCCCTAAATCGACTACAGGATTAACACTGTTTTGCTTTCGTTTTAGTTGAACAATAGGCCATGCTATAATTATTTGACGAACTCCTAATTTTACTGTAAACAGAGATACATAAAACAATCAAGGAAGAAAAATCATTCTGAAATCCTAAAATATGGTGTAGTCATAATATGTGTACCGCATTGCAAGTCCAATGACAAACATTTATCTTCTATTTATTTTCTTACACAACAGATCTCGATCCTTGGAAGGGTAGTCTTGGTTGAATCCTCGTAAATGGCATTTTCCTTAGACATAGTAATCCTAGATGCAGAAGAAAGAGTTCGGGTATAAATAAATACAGGACCAGAGAAATGCATTCACGGAAATGAGTCTAATATAGTAAGGCTAATTTTTGTTGAATAAACATATAGCTGTTTTTATGGTAGAAAGATTTGTGGTTAATCACTTCAGATTATATCCTATAATAGTGCTGTGTAGCTGCTTTCATACAACTATTAATGCATGCAAACTATTGCCTTTGTTCTTGATTTCCATTCCTTCCCCATTTAGATGCCGATGCCAAGTTTGTTGAGATTAAGACTTCACTCTCCTTTAGATGTAATTGATGATTCCTGTTGCTTCAAAAATGTTCAGATCTAGGAGCTCTTGGAAACTATGATGGTTCACCCTTTTTGCCTTCTGATTCAGATATTTTACTCGATTCTCCAGAGCCAGAAGATATTGGTAAGAAATAAACAACTCTTTTCCTTACATTTTTTTATTGAAATCAGTGAAGATTGAGAACATAAAAACTCGTGACATTCAAATGAATTTCTTGATATGCTATGTACTCACTGAAATTCTTATGTGAAGCACTTTTTGCATAAAAAAATGCCATTTCTGTTATTTATACATTCTTATGAAGCTAATTTTTGCTTAAGAATAATTGTTGCTTCCAGTAATAACTGTTCATTCATGAGAGGAGGCTTGATGGCAGAAACGAACCCTAGGGCTTTTAAGCTCTTTAACTTCTATAATTGTGTTTTTAAAACACTTAAAATGTAGCCAAGACCATTTAGTCCCTAGGCTCATCCTTCAAGTTTTTTGCAGTAAAATCAGAATGATCCAAAAGAAGTTTGGTAAAATTTAATTTTCCCTTTCTCCAATCTCCAGTTGCCCACTGAAAACTGGATTCATTTGAAACCAGCTAAGCATTATTACTTCGATTTTTGAAGAACTCAATGATGACATAATCCAATATGTGAAGACGGATAGACTACAGAAGTTCAGTTGAGGGCAGTCCTAAAGTTAATAAAAAGGCTTAACTTTCGATGAAACCTTTGACACGTGCCTTAAATAAATATGTGGTAAACCAATTTCTAGAAACAGGTAATGTCGCCAATCACAGCAACACTCACTTCAACAAGAACCTAGTCTACTGTTGTTGTAATAATACTTGTGCAATGTACGTAACACAATAACTTCTTGGTGCTTGCCAGAAAATGTTGTTACTGTTGCTCATAGCTGTGGCTTGACTTTGTTTCAGTCGAAGATTTCTTTGTTGATTCTGTTCCTGGCCCACCACGCCTACCGTCTGATGAGGAATCCTAGCATAACAACAATAACTCAGTCTTATTCTCGATAAATTTGGGATCAGCTGCATGAATCATTTTCTGCCATACCTTTTTGTTTAGAACAACTTAATGCTGAACTACCACAAGCCAAGTTAAGAGGACAAATCCTTGTAAACCATTCTATTTTGTTCGTTGCTAGATTGACAGGGAGATTTAAAGAAACTAAATTCTTAGCAACTACTGCATACCAAGTTAAGCGACGTTGAAGCATGAGGTGAGATAGTCTTGAACTTGGGAGTTTAAACTAGGATGAGGTTCTATTGAAGACAAAGCTTATCTAAAGCTTATGGGTTGACAAATTTAGGCGTCACAGCTTTTGGGTTGGTAGCTGGTTTTCTGTGGAAGCAGTTGTGTTATAGTAGTTCCCTTTTTGTAATCCTATTTAGACGATGCCAATTGAACATGATAATCTCCAAGAGCGAGATCTTTTCGTGTTATGTTTTGTTGACACAATAATATTTTTATATTTCAGACGTTTTGTCATTTCAGTTTAATATGCATATGCTCATAAAAATTATGTAAATTGAATATTTAATAGCTAATACAAGTTGATAAAGGTTTAATGCCTTGACACTTAAAAAATATGCTGTGAGGTCTACCATGATCAAATTCATGAATTTCAATGTCTTTTAAATTATTACAAAGTTCTATTTGTCAAATCGATAAACTTCTGGCTTCATACTTTGAACAGAAGGCTGTCCCGAGCTTTATGTGCAGGACATAATGTTGCTCGAGGTTATACTATAAAAAGACCAAGTACAAGCCTAAACATAAGAGAGGGAAAAATGTAATAAAAATGATGAAATTACAGCGGTAAACCAGAACATTATAGAATATTTAGCTGGTGGCAACGACAAAGTGGGCAATTCTTCTGATGAAGGGATGGATTTAAGGCCCTCGGATTGCTTATTTGCTGGTTTTGTACATATCTTCAATGACATTCTGCAGTTCAACATTCATCTGAGTCAGTGTGTCAGCTATAGACATTTTTCTACAATTACACCGAATATTTTTAGTATCCCACAAGACAGATTTTGGATTCAATTCTTGTTATCTATTTATGAAAAATGTGTACATGTTAGACATTTGATGAAAAAGGAATTTGTTTTGAAGATCAAAATAAATAAATATGTTTATTATATAACAGTTTAATCTTTTAGATGAGAAGGTCACCCATACCTTGTAATATTTGAAAAATTGGGCTCTCTTCTTCTTGTACGTCGGCGTCAAAAGATCACGTTCCATGTCAAATGGTGTCGGGTCAAGGTGGACATCTTTGACAAACTCAAATCCCTTCAACTGTTAACAAAACCAATAACTTAATCATCATTCAAATTTTAGGCCATTTTTGGTATTAGAAAAATTGACCCCAATCTTTGTTTTTCTCTTATATACTATTTCTCTTATTGATCGGGTTTGCTTTAACAACCATATACGACGTGCCAAGCAATACGGGAGAAAGAAAAATTGTACACCGAGAGAACTGACTAGAAATCGAAGCAAACCTTCTTTTGTTTACCGATCTTGTTCAGTTCTCCAAGAATATATGCTTTTGCTTTTGGATTTTCACACAAGCTATTGAAATCTCCAGCAATTCCATTAGCTTCAGCCCAATGTTCAAGAGCTTCCATACTTGGGTTGACAACAGCAACAAGAAATGACTCATAGCTATTGCCATAGATCCATATCTGATACATGGGCAGAAGAATTCCTTCAGATATTGAAATGAAAGTGGACACAAGTAGCAATAAAACAACTAAAAACAAAAAGCTAAGCTTTTTCTCAATAAATTTGAAATCGGCTACATCAATCATTTTCCACTCAGTTTGGTTCATTGCTAAATCTAATGAAAAATGTAAGAATAAAAATCAGAAGGAAGCTACATCGCAGCAATACCTTTCCCAAGTATATATTATAGAATGAAATAACACGTTATGAAGGTATTTCAAGTTGTTCCAAAGGAGAAAAGAAACACACCGCGTCAATATTATATGCAAGAGAGTAAATGCTCTCCAGATTCTCAACCGATATGTATTCTCCTTGGGAAAGCTTGAAAATGTTTTTCTTGCGATCAATTATCTTCAAGCTCCCATCGGGCTGCCATTCACCAACATCCCCTGTTGCAAGTCTAGCGTGAGCAATGAAACGAGTGAAGAGAACGATGGGATCCGAAAAATAATTTTTTGATCCAATAAAATGAAAATAAGTAAGCTAAGAGTTACCTGTATGGAACCATCCATCAACGAGGACCTCTTTGGTGAGATCTTCCCGCTTGTAGTATCCTGTGAACAAGCACTTCCCCCTAATACATATTTCTCCACGAGGAGTACTTGCAAGGGCGTCGTACCCCATTTCAGGAACAGATTCCATGCACACATCTACAACTGGCAATGGCTGGCCAACTGTACCAATCATGGACATTTCATCTGGTCGTGCAACAAACGATCCAGCACAGGTTTCTGTTAGACCTACAAAGCAAAGTGGAAAATTATCGTTTCAATTTTAGAATGTCGTAAGTTAACCATTTGTTGCTCCATTGAATAGATGATATGGTAGAGAGTCATAGTAAACTTCATCTCCCAGATCATCAACTGATGAAGATTGATACGACTTAAATTTGACAGATATATTACGTACCATATCCTTGAAGAACATGAGCACACGTCACAACTCGTAAAAATGTTTCCACATTGGAAGAAAGTGGTGCTGCTCCAGAAAGGATAAGACGTAATTTCCCTCCTAGACCTTCTTTCACCTTTATATACAAATAATTATAAATTAAAAGGTCATAAATTCAGTAGAGACCTTCTTGATATAATTGTTCGAAAGTTTACCAAAAGAGAGAAAAATAAGAACAGATGAAACCAGATCTTCTTCAGTACCTTGCTAAAAACAATTTTGTCGAATACTGGAGCTGCTTCTACATGCTTATAGCCTTTACTCATGTTTCGCAGTTTGCTGCAAATTTGAAAGATTTTGATGAATACAGACGAAATGCACTCCAAATGCATGCTCGCAGTGATAAGGTGAAGAAGTAAAAATATGGAGTGCATAATGTGCATTCATTGTCATTGTCCTGAACTATTTTCAGTAATAAGAAAGTTTTAAAGACAATGTACCTTTTAAATACAGGGAAGAGTGAAGCACTTACTAGGAATAAGCAAGGTTGAACAGTGCATGTTTGATGACCCCTGTCGAAGAAATCTTTTCTACCAAACCTGAAAATTTCGGAAGTTACAAAATTGAGCTAAAAAAATTAATGTACCATATCTGGAATAATATGTACTTCTTTTTGTTTTTGTTTTTTATTTTTTCTGGGGGGTATGCTTACACACAATTCTCCGAAAACTTCAACTTCCACCCTAACAAAACTGTTTTAAACTTAAATTTGTAAAAGTTTCTTCTCTTCTGTGTGCGGAATTTGTTTTACTTAGTCTGTGTCGGGGTGGGGGCTTGATGTTTTCACGAAATCTCTGAAAAGCCAATGCATAAAAATTAACGTAAAACCTGAATATATCCTGTCCAACACACGAGGAACAGCACACAGTACAGTTGGTTTTAACTCTTTGATGTCATCAATCAACTGTTTAATGTCCTGAAGATCCAATTTTAAACATCATGTTGGATTGTCTGTTGGGATGTTAAAATTATTAAGCAACAAAAATCAATTATGATTCACTTACCTTATGCCAAAATCCGATTGAGGCACCTTTTGAGATAAAGAGTTCCTCAATGACTCGATCAAATATGTGAGCTAAAGGGAGATAGGACAAATATACATCTGTCTCACTAAACTGTCAATGATAATACAACACACATTTCAAACCAATCGTCACCAACCATATGCAAGAATATTTAAGAGAAAAATGTCTAGTTCACCTCTTCGTTCATGCTCTCTAGATGGTGATTCACTCCTGAAACAATAGAAAGGATACTCTCATTGGAAATCATTACTCCTTTTGGATCACCTGTCGTTCCACTTGTGTACATTATTGTGCAGATATCCGTCGTCTTCTTTATTGGAATATCAAATTGCTTGTTCAATCCCTGCCAGAAAATATGGACATTTAAAGGAGATATCAGAGTTGGGCTGAATCACTAATGTTAATAGATTGTGTCCACGATAATTTTGTGACGCAATTAAATCTTTTGTGTCACTGGATGTTAATTTACTTGTATTGCAGATCATCATCAATATTGCCCATGTTTGGCTAATGTTTATATACGGTCAAAACCACTTTTTATACACACATATTTCGTAAGACCCATAAGCAATACTCACTTATCCACCATTCATTCCCATCTATAGGCACTTCTCAAACAAGCTAATCAAGTTCAAACCTTCTCGTACCTATTTATCCCATATCCAAAACTGAACGTTTCTTTATTAAAAATGACACAGAACTGTAGACAGGACCATAAGTCCCCCTCGATGGATCCAGGAATTAGATAACACAGGTGAAGAAGAATCCTAATCCCATTTGGAATAGTAAAATGAACTCCCTGAACATGTCTTCCGTTTAAGTAGGCAAACAACTTGAAGGTAATGCTAGTATTTATAAGTAGCTTACCAGAAGCAAAAAGTCATTCCAAGAATATATTTTTACACCAAAATTTCCAGCCGCCTCCTTCTGTTCGAAAGTAACATTTCCAAAGCTTACAAGAGCTGTATATATAACAGAGGATAACCTTATAAACTTAATTGGTTCTTCATATCAATTTACATAAGTACATCTGTACATGGCAATTTGCTCTTACATTTCAAGTATTTTTTGGTGTTGGGAAATGTTTTCAACACCTATGGCAATAAAAAGTGAAAAAGTCAGCAGAAAAGGCAAAATGGTAACATGGGTATGTAGGAGAAAAAGAAAAGAACGACAGAATGCTGCGATCCTGTAAAAGTTCGTTACCTCTGAAATCTTGTTTTCCTCTACGAATACTAATGAAATCTCCGCATGACAGATGATATATTCAACTGCACCAGCACCTAAAACCACAACCAAAAGGTTATGGATATCATAATCCCCATATAAGGAAAGAGGAGAGACGGATAAATGGACTTGCCTAAAGTATCATATAGCGGAACACAATAGAGACCATGAGCATTGCAAGCCTGCGTAGTAAAACAACTAATTTACTTTTCTAATCGAGGAGTATGTAACAAACTAAGAACCAAAGAAATCACATTGAAAATTGAAGACTTTCGATCATCACTCACCTGCATACTTATAACCCAATTCGAGCAATTGGCACCATAGATTCCACATCTACCTCCCTACATGAGCACATGGATCGTAATGTGTCAAACTTCTAAAACATAAGTTACATGCACGGAAACCACATTTCCTTAAAATAGGATCAGAAACAAATGCAAATGGAATGAAAGCTAAGGGCATGTTCTCTTTGTCATTTTCAACTCGTTTTTTGTTTTCAATTTTTTCAAACAGTGAAAACGTGTTCTCTATCCTATTTTCGAAAACGCGTTTCTGAAAACAGGTTGAAAATTTACAAAGAAAACCCAAAACGACAAAATGTTCAGTTATAACTTGACAAAAATTTCCAAAACACGTTTTCGTTGTTTTCAACTACCACCAACCATCACCGCACCCAACCACCACTGCATCGCCGGAACCTACCACCGCGACCCAACCACCATTGCACCATCACCACCGAAATCGCCACCAGAAACCCCACCGCCACAGCCAAAATGGCGACCCAACCACTGGAAATCTCATCCAGAAAGACCACCATCGCCCAGCCAAAATGGCGACCTAACCACCGCAAAATCGCCACTAGAATCGCGACCTAACCACTGCCAGATTCGCGACTAGAAAGACCTCCACCGCCCAGCCAAAATGGCGTCCCAACCACCGCAAAATCTCCACCAAAATCGCGACTAGAAAGACCACCACCACCCAGCAAAAATGGCGACCCAACCACCTCAAAATCGCCACTAAAATCACGACCCAACTATAGCCAAAATCGATTTGCCATTACCCCCACCACCCCAGCCAAAAGTCGCGACCCAACTGCCACCACCGCAGCGTCGCGACCCAACCACCGCATCCAACCACAACACCCAACCACCGCATCCAACCACCGTCAGTGAAGAAGGAGGGAAAGGAGAAGAAGAGGGGGAGGAGGAGAAAAAGAAAGAGGCACGAGAGAGAGAGAGGTTGAGGAAGGGGAGGAGAACACGTTTTCCATTTTCTAATTTTTGAAAACAATTTTAAAATGTCAAAAAAAACATATTTTCAACAATCTCAAAATGAACACTCAAAACACAAACCCAAAATGAATTCAAAATACAAAATATAAAACTCAAACACAAACACAAACACAAACACAAACACAAAGAGAACAACCCCTAAACTTTCATATAATGTGATTCAACACTGTGTAAGCCTCACCACCATCTATTGCTTTTAATCTACACTTGAGATGCATACTGAAGACTAAATTTGAGCTAATATTTGCTTTTAGACGAGGCAGCTTTATAGAATTGAATCAAGAAAACTAAAATCTTACCTGTTCTACACCACAATTGCGAAGGGAGACTCCAACTTGTAAAACTAAATCATGAACTTCTTTGTAAGTTAACCACACATATTCACCAGTCTGCAAATACTCCAATATGCAAAAAACATAATTAAATAGTAAAATTTAGTATATTTAAAAAGTGTAATAAAAATACTAACCAAACATACCTTCCCATTGACAGTTTCACGCTCACCAAGCATTCGGTTATTCGGGTATTTCTTTACAGATTCACTGCAATAATGGAGCCAAAAATAATGTAATAGTGCAAATCTGTAAGTAATTTCAACTTTAAATGTTGCAATTAGTTTGCTATTTAAGCAATTATTTAATCAGAGTTCAATTTATAATATGCATCATATGCATGGATGCATAGAGTGATTCAAACGCAGAAAACCAGCTAATGGGCGGCCCGAACTAGGATCCGACCATTGTCTTGACGCCAAGGCGACCGGTTAGACCCGAACTAGTAATCATGCAAGTTCTATGCGATTTCTGATGACCCCCAACCCGCTTACGTATCTTTCCGAAAATTTTCAAGACTTCTTCAAGCTGGTACTATTAAACTATGACACTAAAATTGAAATGTCTGAACTCTTACCATTCTTGATGTAGAACTAGAATTTCTTGATTCTAATGCTAACAAATCTTCTCAATTTAACGAGTATTAAATAATATCTGATCATCACGTCACTTTTCTCTACTTTTTAACGACACAGTCAACTAAACAACACTTTTCAAAGAATCTTTATCGAACAAGCGCTAAATTAGGTCGACGCACGAGGGGACAATACATAACACAGCTAACGAGGCCAGGCACGGGCTGGGAGGCCTACCTTTACACCTTTATGTAGGTGGTGGGGAGTGAGGAGGGAGTTTTGAAGAAAACTCACCTAAACATATCCCAGCAACTCTCAAGACCTTGATCCAGTGGCCTAAATCCATCCTTCGCCAACACATTTCTGTAAACTGGTCCAACAGATGGTCTCCCATCTCTGGCTTCTTTTGCCTTTTCAATCTCCACTATCAACTTCTTTTCTGCCATATTCTATACGTATTTTCAGATGCAACTTTGAATGCTTTTTGCAGCTGCATGTATTTAAAGAGAGAGATGACGTAGTAACTTCTGTCAACTCCAAATTTGGTGACCAAATTCATCTGAAATAAATATATATGTTCATTTTCTTAACCAACACCACCTAACACTCTCATTCACTCTAGTTTGAATTTCAGATAGAAGAAACACTTCTCTGCCTTGTGCTTACGTGCAAGCAATCAAATGTGGCTGACCTTAATTTGATAGATATACGTTCTTTTTGCTAACCTCTCTCCGTGAATATTGTTAAATCTCCTCGTATAAAAGTTTTTTAAATATATTGCGAGATTTAAAAGTTTAAGTTGTAAGAAAATGAACGGATTATTTTTAGTTTTATTGTGCGCAAGTAATTTTTTTTTTTTTTTTTCATTTAACTTTTTTTCTTAAATAGACGACATTAAAACTTGAACAAGAAATAAGAGAATTTGAATCATTTTTCTATATATTATTCCAGAGAATTCAGTTCATAAGTTACAAATAAATATTAAAAAAAAAAAAAAGCATTAATAAATTGCAATTTAATGTCCAACTTTTTCCGAAAGTTGCAATTCTGTCGACCAATTTTTTGTTTCATTTTTATCCCTGACATTTAATAATTTAACATTCAATCTCTCTTCCCGGCTTTTGTTAGTTTTCGCCATATAACTTAGTTATGTGACCTACACATGCCCTTTTAATTCAAGTTTTTGACACGTTGAACTAAACAATGTTGAATACGACAATAAACAAATTTGTCACCCGTATCTTTTCTTTAATCCTATCCAGTCTTTCCCAAACCAATATATTGATCATTTTATTTCACTAATCCTCTTTCAATGATGTTGCTTTTTTGGTCAACGGTTATATCCTCCGTGATTCACACACACACACACACAGGAAATTAGAGAACAAAAATGCAGAAATTTTCAATCATATGGAGAGTCACGACTTGTACTTCTACATCCCCTCCAAACTCCCTGCTGAATATGAACTAAAATATAAATTAATGGAAAAGCAGAAAGACTTGGAATGCAATGAACTCACAATTCTATTTATTCTGAAGTTCCAGAGAAAAGTATTTTGAAAGCATTACAAACGATAGCTATGAAATGAACTGGAGTCGACTCTAAATCTCTAATTATATACTTATTTACACTTCGGTATGTTACAAGCACGTATCTTATACTATGGGTATCAAGCATTTGAAGAATATAACTTGGAATCAGTTGGTCGCTTACTGTTCTGCAAGCCTGAGCCCGATGCTGCAGTGTGAGGCGAGACCGATGCATTTAGAGGCTGGAAATTGGTATTCCCTACAAACCAGTAGAGAGCCCATTTCAAATTGCAGAGAGTGTACTTAAGAGCTTTTGTCCAATTTTCCTGTTTATTGAAGCTTTGGGTAATGGAGTAATTTTCGACCTTGTCATTTTCAATCCTGCAAATACATTGCCAATGACGAATATTATAATGCAATATATACCAGATTAACACAATGGCATATTTGGTACACTGGACTATATCATAGATCTTTAGCGTCTTTTCATTTTCTAATATAATATGCTATCCAGCCATACCAAACATCGCTATATAAGTTTTGAGCTCTGCATTTAGCAAGCAAAACCAAATTTTAGGACATAATGGACATTCAAAACTATTCCTACACATATCAGTGCAAAGAAATTCGACAGAAAACATGACATTATTGCAACTTCTTTCACACAATCTGACTACAAGAGTCCAGTGTCGCCCTGATACACATTCAAGCCTTAACTTACTTTACTAGACAAGAACCTGTGGGATTCTCCAATTCCATTGCCTTAGGTGGGCCATGTTGGCTTCTCAAGTAACATATCTACATATCCACTTTTAGCTCCCCAAAAAGTCTCAATCTTCTGCTACTTTATTCTCTAGACTAGAACAATCACTTCAATTCTAAATGACCTCCAGCAGAAGAAGTAAAATTCTCAAGAGTTCCATCAATTACATTTTGTGTACGTGATTTGCATATCTTGTCTGAGTAAGGACAAAAACACCAACACACCATAGAACCATGCAAAGTACTGTCCAGCATGGTTCATCCTTTATGATCTTTATACAGTTGCATTACTTGTTTCCGTTAAAAGTTTTCTTGGTCAATTTAACTTTTTTACCGAATCATACTTATTTTGTTTTTTTCAGTAATTTCAAATTATCAACTTTCAAACAATAGTTTTCCAGTTCAAAATTTCCCACTTTCCAAACATCGTTTCTTAACATCAAGTAACTTAAAAGATCGATTTACTTCAAAAAAGGTCACATTATCCTGAAAATTCGACGAGTGAGAATTGAAGTGGGAGAGAGAAAACTTAGCATAACAATAAAAAAAAAATACTTAGAAAAGCTTATAATGGCTACGACATAGAATTATGAAATTTCATTAGACAATTGTATCTCCATCAAATAATTCCATGAAATAAGATGCACACAATTGCTTACTTGTACGGAAGCTTAAAACATTTCTCAGGAGAAACATTGTTTTCTACATCCTTTGCCTTTGCAAACTCAGCAAACTCCTTCAGGCAGGTTAAGAACAATGTCATCGCTTTGTCATAGCGAGTACTCCAAAACAGATTGACAGGACCAAAGCTGAGAAAACTCAAATTAGCTGACTAGAATGACCAGAAGATGACAAAGTGCAGAATTTAAAGAAAATTACATTATTCAGATACACAGATTACAGATGATCCAAGTACATATTACACGAGCAAGAAACCCATAAAATGGCTGGGATGAGGAGCAATAGGTTAACAGAAAAAGAAGAATCTGTTTAGCCAACAACAAGATTTGGGATTGAAGGGAGGTCAAGTTTGTTCAGTAACTCCAAACAGCCAGAGAACATGTAAATTGAAAACATATTTTAGGAAAATAATAGTTTAGATTTCATAACTTCTGATGTGATTATATTTGTTTTGATGAGATTAGATACATTAATAGACTTTCAGTTTGCATATTAATATTAATAACAATTACAATTAGACTGAATTTTTCCTCCCCCGAAATTTCTCTTCTATAAGCGAAGAAGAGGGAGGGGCAGATTGGATACAAACAGAACCTTTGGAATCAGTCCCCAAAGCAGCAAAACCTTATTTAAGAATTAACCCACCACCACAGAAAAAGAGGGGAAAAAAGTAAAAAAACACACACATAATGGCACAATGGTGGACGTTCTGACAAGCTGTGTTCAGTTCAAAAAGAACAGGTCCTTGATCCTCAACGACCCACATAAAGCACAAAGAAATAAGGATAAATTGGTGCGTGTCACTCTAAAACAGAGAACCCTAATGAAATTCGAAATTAAGCTTACAGTTCATAAGTATTGCCGCTGCTATCCATTATGCGAGGATAACTTCCCATGGGAATAATTTTAATTCGATATCTGGTTAACAGAAAATTAAGGGCACTACAATTCACAGAGACAGTAACATGGTTCATTTGCAGGAATTTCAGGATTCTACATTTCCATTCCCAGCAATGAGATACAAATCCAATATCATCACTGCTTCAATACTGGAAATAAAACACAGTAAGAAACCAAGGGAAGGAACAGAAAATAAAAGCTTTTGACAAGTTCCAGTAATGTAAACTAGTGGGAGCAAGGAAAACAATTCGTGCTGACTATTGTCAAAAAGACATAAAAAATTTAAGAATGAACACCTCTTCTAATATTAAATCAATCTGACAAGGCTAAAGAGAAAATTCCAAATGGCAACAAAGTTTTAAGACCTGATCTGGGGACTAAACTGACTTACTGACTTCACCACCATGCCTTAAAAATCATGGTAAACTAATTTTTTTCAATGGTAAAAATATATTTTATGCTGGTTTCTGATAGCGATTGATGATGGTACCTTAAAAATCATGGTAAACTAGTTTCTTCAATGGTAAAAATATATTTTATGCTGGCTTCTGACAGCTATTGACATTCCAGTGTTTTTATTCCCCATATCATATACTTAATTGTTTAATTAAGTTTTTTACACTATTATTAACTCTTTGTAGTTCAATAACATGAAATCCTTAGCATGAGTCCAGGAACACACACCATCAACAAGGTGGAGAAGATATTAAATAAATAGAGAGATAATAAGCAGGTTAAACATTTTTGCCTCAGGAAACTACTAACACTACTCACAGTAGCAGACTTAACATAAAGCCTGAGAATAAGGCGTGTGAAATTATAGAAGATTCCTTTTTTTTTAATTGTTTTTTTTTTTTTTGAACTGCATCATAAATTTATAGAAGGATACTGAAACTTTGGCCTGAAATATTGAGACATCGTATGGAGGAGAAGGCAAGCTTGGCCCCATGCAGCATTTATCTCATCCCATTCAACCTAAGAATAACAATAAAAAGTGAGGATTTCAATCAAAATCAGTTCTTCATAAATGTGCAATAACATAAATGCAGAGAAGTTCTTCAACCCCCTTGAATCCATGTTTTGTTTAAAGAGAAAGCAGGGTGTCTGAAAAAGCTTTAATCATATAGATTCGGGAAGAAATTATACATTTCAACTTGACTATACATAGCTATGTGCGATAGATAAGAAGACAATACATTCTCACATCAAACAAACATTATCAAATCAAATGCACCTTACTTTTGCATACCGGAATCTTAGGAAGTCTTCCCAGGCGGAAGTTGTTAATCGTTCCAAAATCTCCATCATACCAGATAGGGAAGGCATCATTGAGCACATTCGTATGTTTCAACAAGTCTAAATGAGCTTGTGAAACTTCAATCTTGGCCATAATTGCATCTGTCTCCTCCTGTTGACCAAATATTTTGAATTGTAAAATTTACAATAGCTTTCATCTAGAGAACATCTAGACAATTTTGGGTTCTAAGGTATAGACAGTTGGAATCCCCCTTCCCCAAAGTCACATCTTTCCAGCGTTGATAGGTTAGATCCAGGTACCCTGGGAGAGGGGGATGAATGTGTCCAATGATATAATAGCAGAACCAGACCTGATGTGTGGTCAATTGAAACTGAAAGTTATTGAATTCCTGCCAATACCTGGTAAAGATAACAGATACGATGACAATGAAACCAAAAAGTGTAAAGTTCATCCAAACATAACATTTTTTGAGAGGAAAAAAGCTGTAAACTAAAAGAAAAAATCTTATGAATACTGAACTCACTGCACAATACTGCACTACAAACAGTTCCAACCCACGAATCTCTATTAACATTATGAAGCTAGTCTGAGGCTTACCGCTCCTCCAATTCTTTAAAGCGACTAGATTTTAACTCTAGTTCCTTCAGTTCAGCAGTGACACCTGCACACTGCTTCTCTGTTTCTGCAATAGCTGCTTCAAGTTTCCGTTCTTCTTCTTCTATCTAAAACACATGGCATTCACACAAGAAGGAGTAGATAAGTAAACAAATGTACCCATATACGACAACGTAAAGATTTAAACTCCATGTAGATGTATTCAGCAAAATCTTACAATTGGAAGTAACACATTAAGAAAACAGCTTAATGACAAGTGATCTTACAATCATAGCCTTAACTTTTATGGTAGCATATCTAGATACAATACGTAAAAAGTTGAGCCCTAAAATTAAGTCCTCATTGAGTCAAAGTGGGAATTCCCATTAACTTTCCACAGTCATCTGAACTTTTCAATTCTAATCAAAATAAAGAGGAAATCTAAATGGGCAGTCACCCAATATTGGACGATATCTTGCTCTTATTTCCGAACCTATGTCAAGAGGAGAGACGAAGAAGCACACACATTGATGAATTTGCATTTTCATCAGAGCTTGAGAAATAAGCACCTTTAATTTCTCCTTAAGAAAGTCAGCCTCCCTAAGAACATTTCTTGTTTCCCCTTCCAATCGCTGAAGGCAGGCTTCATAGGCTTCTATGTCCCTGTTCACATCTTCAACCTCCTTATCAAGTTTATCAGATAACACACGCATGCACTCAAGACACAAAGGTTGCTCAACCTGAATAGTAAAATGGGAAAAGATAAGTCAGAAAAGACCATTAAAATATAATCTATGCATCAAATTGCATGGTCAGTGTCAGACGAATGGGGGCAGATTACTCAAATGTAAATTGAAGTTTTCTTGTTGTCAACCTATGAATTTGACAACTCTTTCATACCTGTGTTTGAGTTGTGGCAATCTCAAATGCGCGCTTCAGGACAGTTATTGTCGAGTGAAAGCCTGAATTATGTGGTTGTGAAGGAGCATTAGTTGAGCCACCCTCAGGTGATGGCAAATTGGACCCGCCTCCATCAACTCCAAACTCACATTTGTACACTGAAGCAGCTGGTGGAGGTAACACCACAAATGACTCTTCTATTGCTTTCCCAGACTGGGTAGCATCAGGCTGCACTACTCCACCTCGAGGACGAGGAGAGACCCCTGCTACCTGATTCCTTTCCTTTGGCAACATGACAAATGAATGGTCCGCACGTGTTGAACCTAAAACGCTACCAGTCCCATGGATTGAAGAACCCTGCAGCCCTGCACATTTTATTCCAAATCATCCACATGGATGTATCACTGAATTCACTAAGCTACATGTTGGTATCCAAAGCCTCTGAAATATTCCATTTGAAGTTGGCATTGCACTAACGCCTCAACACTTATCCTATTCTAGACCACTTAAGGGAAATAAAAAGAAACCATAATTTCCGTAAATACTAAAGCATATATTAGCAAAATTCATCCCAAGTATCCAAGTCACAAATCAGTTGAAAGAAACTCTGAAATATTTCATTTGAAGTTGGCTTTGCAATAACGCCTCTACACTTCTCCTATTCGAGCCCACTTAAGGGAAATAAAAATAAACCATAATTTCCGTAACTACTAAATCATATATTAGCAAAATTCATCCCAAGTATCCAAGTCGCAAATCTGTTGAAAGAAACAAACAAAATGAATAAAGCAAATTTTAGAATATGTTTGGCCCCATTTTTCAAAAATTCATTGTTTCAAAACTCATTTTTAACCACACATTCTCCAATAAAACAATATTACACGTAAATAGAAAAAAATCTTTATTTTTTAACCACACATTCTCAAAAAAAAAAAATCACTATTTCTATTAGGATTGATACCACTTGTTGTGACGTCAATCACCGGTAGGGGTGTCCAAAAGTCTCGAACCGAATCGAGCAGTTCTTCATAAGTTAAATACCCGAACGGGTACCCGAATCGAGAACCGATGGGTTTGGTTTGGGTCGGGTCTAGACCAAGAACCGAAGAATCGAATAAGACCCGAAACTAAATAATTTTTTTTATTTTTTATATTGAATAAATTAAATTAAATTATTTTTTCTAAACAAATTAGAAAATTAATTAAATAAATCAAATCATTTCATAATTTTAATTTTAAAGCCCAATACCCAAATCATTTTAAAGACAAGAAACAGTGGAGTTTGGGATCCATTTGCAGTTTTTGATATG